ATGCAGCTATAGGTTACAAGTCAACAACAATGGTAGAGTTAATGAAAGAGGAAGGAATTGATGTGAAGGTTAGTGGTGTATACAGACTTTTGAAGAAATTCAATGAAACTGGTACCATATCTCGTCGTCCAGGTACATGTGCATGCATGTACTGTAGTTAATATTTATGATGTACTTCAATTTCTACTTCATTAGGTTCTGGTCGCTCTTCTATGATAACAAATGATATATTAAAATTAGTGGAAGAGCAAATGCAAGCAGATGATGAAACCACAGCAGTCCAACTACAAAAAATACTTCTGGATAATGGACATCCTCTCTCACTTAAAACTATTTTAACATCTAGGCGAAAATTAGGTTGGACTTTTAGAGGCAGTGCCTACTGTCAAATCATTAGGGAGGCAAACAAGAGTAAACGACTTCAGTGGGCAAGAGACAATTTAGATGAATATGAAAGGAATGGTTTTGAAGATGTTTTATTTACAGATGAGTCCAGTATCCAGCTCGAATGTCACCATAGGTTTTGCTGTAGGAAGAAGGGAAAACCTGCAAAACACAAGCCAAAGTGAGCATATATACATTTATAAAACATTTTACATATTATTTTAATATTATAGGGCGAAGCACCCTTGCAAGGTGCACATTTGGGCTGGTATGTCATGTAAAGGGAAAACTCCGATAGTAATTTTTGAAGGCATTATGCATGGTGCTAGATTAATAGATGTGTTTAAGGCTGGACTACTCCCTTACATCAACAATATTGACAACAATGTACATCTAATGCAAGAAAATGACCCTAAACACACGTCAAAACAAGTGGGAGAATGGCTTGAGGCAAATGATATCAATTGGTGGCACACACCACCAGAATCACCCGATATAAATCCTATTGAGAACTTATGGCATGAGCTGAAAGAATACTTGAGGCGTTTAGTAAAGCCAAAGACCAAACATGAGCTAGTATGAGAAATACTTGAGTTTTGGGACACTGTAGACATAAATAAGTGTAGAAAGTACATTGGACATCTGAGGACGGTGATTCCCAAAATCATAGAACAGGGTGGTGGTCCAACTGGTTATCGATTATATTTTAAGTACATGTACATGCATTATTATTAAGTTAAATTAATTTTTTATTATTAATAATCAAAATGCAAAAGTACAATGCATCATCTCATCACACACAGCATTTTAAAACAATAATTTTACCATGCGTATCTATACATTATTTATGACAAATCAATTACAGTAACGGGCTTCTGTATTCTAAGAGCAGAAGCATGGTGGTTTATAGCCCCTACACATTTGGATCAAATTGGCTCAAATTCAATAGAATCATAAAATTTGCAATGAAATGCAAGCTTCTTCTTCAGGGCTGTCACCTTCTCCTTGGGTAATGCATTCTGTCCCTTCTGTCCATAAACAGTACACATTCTTAAAATGTCATCACCAAAATGATTTATGTGGCTAATCGTACTGCTAGTCTTCCAGCATGTACCACACTGTTGAGTTTGGGATACTTTCTGATAACTTCATCAGGGTCATTAAGATTATCTTCATAATTGCTGCAAGGAGTAACAAGGACAAGCAGAACTGATTCCCCAAGTCATTGCTGACCAGCTGCACGAGTTATTACAGCAACAGGATCAGGAGATGTTACTAAAATAGGAGGAGTTACTGGAGCAACTGGATGAGAAGGGGGAGTTGCTGGAGCTGGTTGAGAAGTCATTGTAGCTCCTAAGTGAGATGCTATAGAAGCCTGAGTAATGACAGGTTCTTGCTCGAGAGCTGATTCAGTCACAACAGACCTAATGGTTGCCACTGGAGGTTGAAGACTAGCAGGTGGCAAATGAGAAATGGCTACAAACAAGAAAAAGAAAGTGTCAGGGATTGAGTAATGCATAAGTATTAGTAATAATTATAATACTTAAAGCTTGTCTACATACACATTTACATGTAATCCATCATAAAGAGGCAAATGTACATGTACATGCATTCAATAATCACCTGAAATAGAGGCTTTATTAGCATTGTTATGAGGTAAATATAATGGAGACTCTTGTAATACTGATGGTATTGCCTATAAAATTGTAACCAGGAATGGGGTAATATGCAATAATAAAATAATAATTAGATTACATGTACATTGTAAGTGTAATAGTAATAGTAACATTAGTGGTACAATGCAATGTGATAGTAATAGTAATAGTGAACTAACTAACCATTCTTCCGAACAAATGATTCATGACAAGACTACACTGAAAAAGACAATGATTGTTTTGCCTTTCCAATCTATCAAATCAAACCATCAGAGAATTTATCATTTTTAAAAATGGAGTATTACAATAATTATCATGAAATCTGAATCCATTTCACTGTACCATTATCAATAGAAAATGGAGGGGTTTGAGTATTATCTGACATGCATGCATCAACATCAAACTTCGAGTACCATTATATGAGCTGGAGCTAGCTAACACTGATGATAAAGGAGTGCTGGAAGCTTGATGTAGAGACTGAGGTGTTTCAACTTCTAAATAATAAGAATGAATATTAACTGTATGCTGATAATATCCTCTATAATATTAGTAATATTAAAAAAATTATCAAGTATATGTATTGTATACTCTCCTCTCTGTATTGTTGTAACAAACAGTAATATGACTTCATCTGAACAGTAATTACATGTATAAAACAGTATAAAGTACAAGTATGTACCTGAAGTGAACAGAGATTCTGGAAGGGAGTAGAGGGCTACCAGGACTTGAATTACAAGAAGATGAATAAAGTGGTCCTTCAGAATTATTGAGAGGAACTAGAGATGCTTCATTCAGAGGAAGGGGTGCTGCCATACCAGAACTTGTCGCAACTTCTAGTGATGTAGGTGCTTCACTAATATTACTTACTACAGGCAATAGAGAAGATGAAGATGCAGTGGCAACACTACTCATGACTACCAGAGGAGAAACAGCATTAATTGTAACTTTAGATTGTTGCTCTAATAAAAAACAATTACTTTATAAAGCGACATGTACATGAAATTATTTTGCCAACCTTTTTTCTTAGTTTCCTCCTTTTTATCATTCTGCTTGCCTTTATTGCTACCTTTTGGTCTTTTCGGTTGATTTCCTTGATCTATGAAACAAAAAATATTTGATTACAATTCACAATTTGAATATCCTCACAAATATCATTTCTTTTCCTTTTAGATGTAGCGGCCAGTTCATCAACTTGTTTGCCACCACTTACACCTTCTTTTTCATTTATATTTTCACAGCTTAAGCCATCCCAATCTGTATCATTATCACTACTGTCACTAGACACTTCAATAAAATCCGGATTATACACACCATTTAAAAACTGCTCTTCAACATTGACAACATCATCCTTAGTACCTAAAGTAGATACACAAAGATTTATTTCTTAATTTTAATTTCAAAGCTATGACATACCGGAGGTCACAACTACTCCATCATATACAACTTTCCTTTCTTTAACATGGCACAAGGAACCAGGCTCCAACTTAGATGAGTCTTCTACTATAGAAGCTGCTTTAATTACAGACACAGTTCTTTCATCTTTAAAGTACACCAGATAGTAGGGAGCTACCATCACATATACATATACATAGTAGGTAAAATTAACCAACCATATATTTGCTTACGATTCTTTGAGACTTCGGCCCATTTCAACTGATTCCTAACGCTCATAATCACTAAAGATACAGCTAAGCGAATAAAATCACAAGTAGGAGCTGGCTATGGGAGACTAAATCACAAGAGAGAAGACGGCAGCAGAGCTGCGCTTCCCAGATCCAGCAGCTGCAGAAGAGTGCCACGTGGAAAGTGACTGCACCCACCGAAGACTCATACTATCGTATACCACACCTACTCCGCATATGCGGTACAACTACTCTTACATTGTGCATGCACAATGCGAAGGTCTGTGTACTTCCTATGCAGTTTCACCGCATCGATAAGCGCAGCTACTGC